AAAATTTTTTTTTAAATTTTCTTGGTAAGATTTTTAAAATTATTGTATATTAGAACAACAGAAAGGTGACTTTCTGGGGGAAAGAAATGAAACAATAACTTTCTTCCTAGGAAGAAAACATAGATGCTCATAACACTTCATTTGCACTGGGCGATACGTCCTGGGGAGCTACAATTAATTACAGTCTGTTGAGGAAATCACATAGCACATCAAATTTGGATAAAGATGATGCCAGTTATTTACGTCTATCTTTAGGAGAGTTCTTTGCTCAAAGATCTGAAGCTCTTGGTTGCCTTGGTGGTGGTAACAATGTAAAAAGAGTAAGTATGGAATCTGTTAGAAGTGCTCACAGTCACCATATTTTAGATTTTGAGTATTATGATGGCATAGTAACTTTAAAATGGAGACAGAATAGGGGTGGGACAAAAGAGTGGTAAAAAACTTAGATTTCATCGTCAGACCCTTATTCCAGTCCTAGGTCTGTCTTTTAGCTAGTTCTAGGACGTTGAGCAATTTAACTCCTCTGTGCCTTAATCTCCTTTTTCTTTTTTTTTTTTAAGATGGAGTCTCAAATTGTTGCCTGAGCTGGAGGGCAGTGCCGTGATCTTTGCTCACTGCAACCTCCGTGTCCCAGGTTCAAGTGATTCTCCTTGCCTCAGTCTCCCAAGTAGCTGGGATTATAGGCACTCACCACCATGCCTGGCTAATTTTTTTGGTATTTTTAGTAGAGATGGGGTTTCACAATGTTGACTAGGGGGGCTTGAACTCCTGACCTCGTGATCCGCCGGCCTCGGCCTCCCAAAGTACTGGGATTACAGGTGTGAGCCACCACACTTGGCCTAATTTCCTATTTCTTAATAGCACACTGTTTTATAGGGCTTTGTAACATTTAAATGTGATGGTCCATGTAAAACATTTAGCACTAAGCCAACATCTAGCAAGTATTTAATAGTTGTTCGTTGCTTCCTTTATTGTTGGTTGCTGTGAAGAATTCTAAAAATGATTTTTAAAACTATTATCTAAAGAGATGTTTTGAAATATGGAAGTGTTTTGATTTAATTAAATGTAGTGCATGTACAAATAAAAAGACAAGTTGTTCAGGTAGTGATAAGTGCTGTAAAGCATGAGTGAGTAGAAGGAGCTACTTTAGCTGTGCTGGTCAGGTTGACATTTCGGGGAGGACATTGAGTTGGCATCTCAGTGATGAAAAGGAGGCAGCATGCCAGGCACAGTGGCTCATGCCTATAATCTCAGCACTTTGGGAGGCTGAGGTGGGCGGATCACCTTAAGTTAGGAGTTTGAGACCAGCCTGGCCAACATGGTAAAACCCTGTCTCTACCAAAAATAGACAAAATTAGCCAGGTGTAGTGGTGCGTACCTGTAATCCCAGCTACTTGGGAGGCCGAGGTAGGAGAACCGTTTGAACCTGGGAGGCAGAGGGTTGCACTGAGGTGAGATTACTCCACTTCACTCCAGCCTGGGCAACAGAGTGAGACTCCATCTCAAAAAGAAAAAAGAAAAAAAAAAAAAGAAAAGGAGGCAGCAGAGGGAGACATTAAAAAAAAAAAAAAAGATTGTGTTTTTTTTGTAAGAAGAAATAAGACTTCTCCCTCCATTAGTGACCTGGCCTTTGCCTGTATGCAGATCTGGAGGTAGGAACCAGGGTTTCATATTGGAGGAACGGAAATCAGGTGTGAGGTGCAGGGTGGGCGTGTATGAAGGGAGAATGGCAGATGATTAGGGCCAGATCATGAGGGCTTCCGGTAGAGGGAGGTTTTATCTCATATGAACAGGGAGGAAGTGCTTAGAGGCACAGGGCAACTTTGTTGTGGTGCTGGCCCATCTCCAGGTGCAGCAGGCTGCTGCCATATGTCAGGTGCCCAGGTAGAGAAAGTCAGCAAAAGACAAAAGACGGAAAGAAGCAGGCAGAGGCTTAGGAAATGGGAGAGATGTGATGAAGGCTGGAGACAAGGATGACCTAGAGAAAACAGAGAAAAGGGCAAGAATTCAAGATTTATCCTCTAGAGTCAAGGAATTTGTTGATAAATTCTACAAAGGAAATTAGGGTTATTTGAGGGAGTGTTTATCAAAACTGGATTTCATTAAGAATATGATTGTGAAATAATAGTTGTAGTGTTAGAAGTTATAGTTGATTCATAGAACTTTTAAGTTGAACTGTGGTCTTGTTTAGTGCAGTAAATTGAAAAATGAAAATATTTTAGAAAGATGGATTTTTCTGCTTGGATTGATTTTGACTTTGAGATTATGACAGGTTGAAGAGTAACTGAATTCCTCATTAATGGAGTTATGATAAGGAAAGATAAGATGGACAAAGCGCTGGAAAAATTGATCTATTATTTGGATTTTTTGTTTTGGTATAAGTTATAAAGTTTTGTTTGCATTCAAGTTACTGAATCAAAGAGAAGAAATAAGCGAAGACCAGTAAAAAATTGAGTGCTTTTAATGAGTTCACATTTCAGTTCTGTCATGTGACTCCTATATAAGAATGACAAGTGGAAATTGCCCATCCTTTAGCAAGCTCCGTGAATGCAAACCTTCCAGAAACTTAAATGTAAGTTGGTAGAAGGGTCCGTAATCTTAATACAGATTTTTCAAGGATGTGTTTACTCTATAAAATAAAGTACCTTTATATTGTGATTTCCAGGGAGCAGGATTTTTTATCTTTTTTCTCATTAATATGCCACTGATGATTAAACAGTGTCTAACACATAATAGGTGTTCAATAATAATTATTGAAGGAATAAAGTATCATTTCTGTGTTGTTTTTTTTGAGACAGTCTGCTCTGTTGCCTAGGCTAGAATGCAGTGGCATGATCTCAACTCATCTTAACCTCTGGTGCCTCAGCCTCCTGAGTAGCTAGGACTACAGGTGTGCACCACCACCCCTGGCCAATTTTTATGTTGTTAATAGAGATAGAGTTTTGCCAGGTTGGCCAGGCTGGTCTTGAACTCGTGGACTCTCAAAGTGCTAGGATTACAGGTGTGAGCCACTGCGCTTGGCCTCATTTCTGTGTTGTTTTAATTTGAATTTCTTAGTAAGGGCAATTCATTTGACAATATGAGTTCAATGATTAAAAGGTAGCTAGTATTAAGGAAATGAAAGGTGTTATCTGGACCTTTGAAGGCCATCTCTAGTAATTGAGATTAAGTGGGAAGAACAGTTCTTTGATGTCATTTAGCTGTGTTATTAGTATTAGATAAAATAGTCTAGAATTTCTCAAAGCAGTTGAAAGTCAAAGAAATAATTTACATTTAATTATTTTGTAGCCATCATTTGGCTATTTTATTAGATCACCAGAGAAGAGAGAACCTGTTGCCTTGATAAGAAAATCTGATGTATCGAGATGTAATTCAGAAAGAGAAATCGCTCATCTTAACCATGATCTATATTCAGGTAATGGATTCAAAGAAGAGGCTTTTCGGAATCTTTTATTTTTTTCTTAAAAGTGTAACTTAGGTGTTGTGTGATCATGTTCTTTATGAGTGAAAATGTATATAACATTTCGTATTTTCTCAATGTCAGTTATAGATTTGATTTATTTGTAACTCCACATATTCTTTTCAGTCTAAAGTGGAAACAAGTCAGCCAAAATCTACCTAAATTTGTAAAAACCACAGTATATGAAGTAATTTCAAATAGGCTAGTTAATGTTGGCTGTTAAATTATTGAGTTAATTAATCATAGATATATTTATTATTAGGTAGACTTTTAAAGAGATCTTTTGAGATTTAGACTATGATAGTCTAAATATCAATTTTTATGATAAATATCTAAGTATTTTAAATCAAATGTTCTTGGTCAACTTAGAGTTATCAAGCAGCTACTTTTTGTTAGTACAATGCCTTTTGCTATATATCATGTAAAGTTGTATAAGATATGCTCCATTCCTTAAGGAGCCTGTATTCCAGTAGGAGAGTTGGGACAAGGGGTCTTGGTATAGAAAGTCAGCTCATTTTCCATTTCTCTAAAGATGCACTCACTTCTTTAAAGCTTCTGTCTTTTTGTGTTTCTGTCTTTTTTTTTTTTCTTTTTCTTTCTTTGTCTCTCTCCCTTTCTCCTTCCTCCCTCCTTCCCTCCCTCCCTCCCTCCCTCCCTTCCTTCCTTCCTTCCTTCCTTTCTTCC